AGGAAAGAAGTGTTAGTTTATTTAATTTTTTTATACAAAGGAATGTCCACTCAAAATCATGAGAAATATATACAAACTGGCCTTCTGCATGCAGCAGCTCTTCAAGGAGACTCAGTTGCATAAGCCAGAGACCACACTATTGCTATCTCCAGACTGTGGAAACTGAAATAGCACCAGCTTAGGAAGCTTAAAAAACTGAACCCACCACTTCCACTAAAAGCATGTGCTGATGAACTGCAACTGTAGAACTGCATAAGCATTGCATATCCTATTTTGGGACTCCCATGGTTTTCTTAAATTGCACTGTTGAATTTCAGTGACAGTTTTTGAGCAAAGCAGTACCGTACACACAAAAATAGTGGAAAGCCTACATTAATTTTAACTGTCTAAATGCAAAAAATTACCTGTCCAAAAATTGTGGGAGAATAAAAACAATCCAAGTCCTAACTACTTTGCATTATTGCCTTGCCTACCCCTGCTTTTGAACTCCATTTGTTTTTAAGTGTAGTCTTCAGTAATGAAAATCTGACTAGGTACTATAATACACCAACAAAATTTGTCTCAGTTGCTTAGTGGCTGTGGCATAAAGAATTGCACATATGATAGAGTCTTGGGTCAGATGCATAATCCTCAGAGTTGTGCTCATAAGACACAACTACCTATCTTTAAGCTAACCAATGAATTCTCTATTAATCTAGATTTGGGATCAAAAGACACTGAACCATAATCAGTCCAGTTGGGTTTAGACAAAACACAAACTATGGTTAGCTAATTATGGGTTGATGGAAACACAACCAAGAAATAAGCAGTGATGGTCTTCAAAGATGCTGAAGAGAGCAAACGGAGAGAGTTTATATTAGTAGATAATTGTGGCCTGTGGATAATTGTTTTTTTTTTTAGCTTTGTTTGTTTCCTCATTTCAATTATTGTAATTCTTCACTAACTGTTCAGGAACAGGATTAATTTATATGCTCTTTCTTTTCCTGGCATGATATAGTTTGTGATGTGATCTCTCTGATGTGATGCACTGGTAATGGTACAGATTATGTATTAATTTGTTTATTTCACATCATTTCCACATTGCCCCAATCAGTTACCTCTTGGCATTGGGCAATAAAGCCATTCATAAAGCACAACATCTATGAAAATAACCTTACACGAACCCTCATTAAAATCACTAAAGCATAACAAGAGCATAACTGAGAGAAACACAATTAAAAGTCACCTATTGTTCTTTTGCTAGGAATCTAAAGCCTGCTGAAGAATATTGGTTTTCAATGCCTTCTGGAATGCCAGAAGCAAAGCATCTGTGGTGATGGGGAATGACGGAGTGAAAATTTTAATTTATGTGTACCACATAAAAAAGAGGCAGAACTTTGATTATGTAGTCACACTGCTGTTGTGATTTTTTTTTTTTTGCAGTCAAACTGATAAAAATCAAGGACACCTCTGGGGCACCCTAGTGTGGGAGCCACCTTGGAGAAACCACACCTTCCTTTTGATCTCTCACAGGAACCAGACATTAAGCAGACCCTGAGCAGCATCTTGTTGTGGGAAGAGGTCCATAACTGAGTTAATCTAAGTTGACAGTTTGTCACATACCACGTCAAAAATATTTTGTACAGAAAGCAAAACACTTAGCATTAAATTTCAGGGTGCTTCAAAGGAATGGAGCAGCCTAATGCCAAGCGGAGAGTAAGAACTATAGCCTTGGCTATGGAACTGAAGGAGGCTTCATGAGAGATGGGGTTACTCTTATCAAATAGAACTTTCCCATCCATTACAGTACAATGAAGTAGGTCAAGGGCAGCCCTGGCACCTTAGCCAGATGGAAAATCCCCAGCAATCTCAGCCTAGGAGAGAGATTACTGAGAGGTATCCTGCCTGAACATTATATTCTGATAGGTCTAAATCAGGGGAAGTGTACAACCTTTGCAACTTTAAAACCTGTGGACTTGTGGGCTTGAACTGCCAGAATTGTCTGGCTGGGGAATTCTGGGAGTTGAAGTTTATAAATCTTAAAGTTGCCAAGGTTGGACACTATGGTCTAAATCCAAAGAGACAATTGATCTGAATTAAACTCTCTCTTTTCTATCTTTGCACAGAGAGATGGAGGTGTGATGGGGAAAGTTTTGTGATAGTGTCAACTAAAAAGAGCACCTTCATTCACATAGTGCCTCCATTTCTCTCTTTCAAACACTTCTTCCAATATGAGAGTGGGAGAAAAATGTGGTTGGAAAAGGAACAACTCCTACTCTTACTAGTTTAGATTAGAAGACCTTTCAACCCTATCATTCTGTAACTATAGAATCTATAAGAGCAAAGCACTGGATTTTTAAAGTTTAAATTAATCTAGTTACTTACAACTAATGGCTTAATGATTGTATATTGAATAAGATCCATTAAATTAAAACATCTTTAAAAGTCTCTGTCTCTCCTGAGAGTAATGTCTGCAGTGTTATTAAATCAGAGTTATTGTTTTTTTAAAAAATTAGTAATAGTCGGTTTACTCTGATAATAATGTCGGTTTACTCTGATAATAATGAAATATTGCCATGAAGCCATTATACAAGTCAACCCCCTCAAAGCATCCATCGTTTTCGACTTTATATATCGATAAGCATTAATGAGAGCTGTATGTTCTTTGAAGATATAGTATTTCCTTTAAAGAACAGCCCGGAAACATTAGCACTACAACTCCCAGAATCCATTTTGCACTGGCGAGAAAATTTTCCTTTGCTATAGCATGGACTGGTAGTAGTTTAAGGTTGCTTTGCTTGGCTTTCGAAACACGTGTCTCAGCTCGAATAATGCTTTCTTGGCGGGGGGGGGGGGGGGAGGAAGAAAATTTGCAAGCAGGCTCCAGCCTTGGGCTATGCAAATAACCACGTCATCTTGGAGAGAGCCAGGAGTTTAGTCCTGCCATGTGGAAATTTCAGGCAAAGCGTTTCGGTCCGTTAAAGTGTAGCAGAAGCACCTGATTAACAGCCTCGGTTTGCTTGGTCTGTGAGTTATCAATTTCACGTTTTTATTGTTAATGGGGAAGAGGAAATCCTTAAAGCAGGGGTTCTCAACCTTGGCAACTTTAAGACTTGTGGACTTCAACTCCCAGAATTCCTCAGCCAGCAAAGCTGGCTGAGGAATTCTGGGAGTTGAAGTCCACAAGTCTTAAAGTTGCCAAGGTTGAGAAACCCCTGTTAAGTAAATCTTTTCGGGGAACACCTGCAAGCGATCCTGTGGCTGCGTCCCGGAGAGGAATAAAGGGTCCCGCCCACTCATAGAAGAGTTAAGAAGCAGCCAAAATGAGAGTCACGTGTGGCATTGCAACTAAGAATGAATGAAGCTAGGATTTAGCAGTCTTGAGACGTTTCTTAAATCTTTTTTTCGGGGTTGATTTTCCCATTGTTTCGTTTTTTGTTCCGAGTTCCCCCCCCCCCGTTTACAAAATTACTAAATGGAGGTATATTTTTAATACCTATACTATCACAGCAGGTTAGTTTTGCTGGGTTTGGACGTAGCGACCTCCCGCTGAGAGCTGCCGGGTGAAAACGCGAGAAAGGGGACAACGCTTTTACGGTGTATTTTATGCCTCTCAGGAGGTTAGCTTGAATTTAGAAAAATCTGGTGGAGAAGCTGGACTTGGTGCCTGTATAGATTTTTATAACTGATTAGTTCATGATTTATTTAATCGAATTAAGCGACTTGTGTTTGTACAAGTACAGAGGCACAAACTAGCAACCATATATTAGCCGGGATGCTATGAACTCCTAACGATTGGGACCTAGGAAACTTGGGTGAAAACATGCCCTTCTGGTTGTTTTATTTATATTTTTGTTAAATGTGATCATCTGCTCTGTTTTTTTCTTATTAGCCTTGTCTGTGTATCTGTGTATATAATAGAGACTTCAATATCAATCTGCTCAAAACCAAAACCTACAGTGTTTATAACATTTTGAGGTAATCAACCCTTTCTTCTTCCAAACCTTAACTTTGTATGAAAAAATCAAATTTCACACCTGTAATATCCATATCCTAAATTGTATTACTGATAAAGTACCTTCCCCTCCCTCTATTTCTAATACTCCACTTTATCTAAACGTTAGACAATACTATAATAAACAGTAATACTGTAAAAATGTAGTTTTGAAAAAATATAATGTATCAAAACTTATAACAGTATAATAAAGAGGGGGGGAAAAACTTTTGCCATAAGGACTATATTGCCTTTTTAAAATCAGTTACTGTCATTTAGTTTAACATGTTTGTTAACAGACTTGTTATAAAGGCTGGCTGGGGACGCTGAATTGGAAACTGTGGAGGGGGAGCTGCCCTGAACCTAAAGATAACATGTAATTAATGCCTAATAGTAATCTATCAGAATAATGTTGTTGTAATGGCAGAGTGATTGGCAATGGAAAATTATGAGTGGCTGCAGGACTCTCTGTACACAGATCTTTAGGCCATTCCTTTATTAGCACTACTGTAGCACTTGGGTGCTAAAATTAGAAGAAATGACATGTGGGTGGCTGATATATGAAAATTGCACTTTTATATGGGAACTGCAAGGACATCGTTACTTCCTGTTCAATTGTGCTAAATCATAAACTAGTTTATAGAAGTAGGGTGTACTCCCAAACAAAGCCAAACAATGGTTATATCTAAACACTGGAGGAAAAAAAGTCAGTATTTTTAGATAATGAATGAATAGGCCATAATTCTGCTGCTTTGTTTAATTTTTTAAGATCCAAAGTCCAAAGGGTGGAGCTGTCTTGTACAGGCTTGTGGTGTGGTTTAAAGGTTTCTGGGCGAGAAGGGGATGAAAGGAAGAGTTTAGTACAGCCAGGAGCTAATAAAGTTGGCACTTCCCCGCCGCATGAAATTAACACTTACCTGACCAGCAAAAATTTAGGAGGTGAGATTTTCCTGGTCATTTCCTCTGTACGTGCATGGGAGAAGTGTGACAAGAAGGACTTATTCCAATGATCATTGAATGCATAACAAATCTTAGCTGTGTATCTTTGTGTGCTTCCAGCATAGCCTGGTCAAAGAGAGAGGTATGGGATGAGACATCTTTTTATGTGTGATTGACAGCAGGGATTGGTTGGTGAGTAGTATTCAATTGTTTCTAGAGATGAAAACTTAATGAAAAACTATGTAGCATTTTCTGAAGTATATTAAAATGGAAGGGAAAGTTCATGCTAAATAATATTGGCGCTGTAGAAGACTAGCTAGGTTTTTGCTGCATAATCTATGCAAGTCTATTCACAAGTAAATTGCACTGAATTCCACATAGCTTATTCCCAAGAACAGGTTTATGGATTGCAGTCTAAGTAACTAATATATCACCCCTGGTTGTACAAGCCCTTTTGTTTGGAGACTGGGTTCTGAAGGATTGGATTGTGATAATGCATAAAACAGTATCTTTGCAGACATTTAATACAATTCGGGGATTTATAGAGAACTGGGAATTATTATTTACAGGAGACAAAAATAAGATAGACCAGGTACAGTTAATATATCATGAGAATTTGGTATATTATCTAAAATTGTCATGGGAATGCATTCTCTGGGAGGAAGGTGCAATCTCTGTACCTTGCCCCTAAAGAATGACCAGCAGAAATCCAGCCTGAAAAAAAAAACTCTGAACAAAAATTAATCTGAGATGGGTGTAAAGAGAAGGAGCTGTAGTTCTTGTTATCATATGAACCACATATGTTGTTGCACCACCTTCTATTCAGGAGGACGAACCCTTTTTTTCCAAAGTTACAAAATACAACACATTCCACAACAGGAAAATATAATGTTCATAACAAAACCTCCTCTCTAGGATTATTGGTCTAAAATAACGTTTCCCAACCTTAGCTATTTTCTTCACGTTGGCTGACAAATTCTGGAATTTAAAGTCCATATATTTTACAATGGCTAAGATTGAGAAACACTAGTCTAAAATGAGATATAGTACATTACGCATGAAATAAATTATAACCAGATATTGCATGTGGTCATTTTTACATGCTTATCCTTTGACAATATATTTTAATAATTACAGGTTTTGATATTTTTTTAAAAAACAAGCAAAAATATCTATGTTGGAGATATTTAGCTGACTTGAAATCAGATTTGAAAATCATGATAAATACAAGTAATATGGATCAAACTGTATTTGAGAGCTTCTAATGCTTGTGCATTTTAAAATATAAGACATTTGATTCATGTACAAAAAAGGTAGTTTTTAAAGTCTAAGCTAATGCTCTCCTAAAAGGATTCTTATTGAGTTATCAATGAAAAACGGGCAACCTGTGTTGGAGCATTATCTGATGCCTGAAGATGCTTCTGGCAGTCTTTGTGTAGCCGCTGAGGGCTTTAGTAGCAAATTGTTCAGTGTAGTTTCATCTGGCATTTAATCTATGCATCATGTAAAAGATGTAGAATTCTGGTCATTATTATTTCAGACTGTAGGTGATGGGGTGTATCATATTTTTCAATGTTCCCTAAGGGTAAAGTATATTCTCTGCAAATAGTGTAGGAGCCAGTTCACAGAGGAAAATAAGGTTAAGTATCTTTCCCCCCCCCCCCAGGGCTAATTAGCTACTTGCAATAATTTTTTTTAAAAGTCTATATTTTTATTTCCTCTTACCAGACGGATACCTACCAGAAATTATATATTCTTACTTTCTTTGAACTTAATGTGTTTTAAGATAATTGATTCTTGGACTTAAAAGTGTTCAGACTTGTCTGAATAGACATTTTAGCCAGTGGAGTAAACAAAGAATCACTTTAAAGACTACTAAATTTATTATTGTGTAAATTAATCTTTAGAATACCACATGATTCCATTTTTTTTGCTGCAGCAGATCCACATTGCTATCTTTCTGGATATTATTAAATAATATGAAGAACCTTATTAGATTTACTTGATATTGTTGCATCTTTTACATGTTCAAAGAAGAATCTAGATTAAACTGCCATAGAAGTAAGGCTACATAGTTCAATAGGACTTACTCCTGAGTGTGTACAGAACTGCCTTATAAATTTATGCATCAGATATTAATCCCAGGTGAGAGAAAGAAAGTACTGAAAAATTTTGGAAGCAGCTGGGAGTACTGACAGTTACCATATGTCTCTAAAACAAACACAGGACTAGCCAAATCTTCAACACCAAGTGATAGTAACATGAATTTATTGTCTCTCTTGCAGCCTTGTTTTCCTACTGAAACAGAAAGCAATTCATTCTGAAGTCACATGGGGGCATGGCCTGTTTACTTGGGCTTATTTGTATATTTGATATTTGCAATGGACTTTCACTGTTCACACCCAAAGTATATGGTAACTGATATGGAAACTGATATTCATGGTCTTAAATACATACTTCAGTGCTCGATGGGAAAAATAAAAAGGATAGTGAGTTTTTTTAGTCAACTTAATCACCTTTAAACTGGTATGCTTCAGGTCTCTAGGAATGCATCCTGGGTCTTTAATATTGGGGTGTGAATGTGAGAAACAAATTTACTAATTGCTTCATTTGTGAAACTATACTAGTAATTCTTACTCTTTAATTTGTAGTATATACCGTAGCTGCTGATGTACAATGCATTGCATTTACTAATATATAGTACAGTGATGGCGAACCTTTTAGAGACCGAGTGCCCAAAAACTGGCCCTGCCCCCGCTCCACCCCCCTGCCTGCCCCCGCTCTGCCCCCCATCCCCCACCTCGCCTGCCCACAGAACCACTCACCGCCTCCAGGGCCCGCCGCAGATCGCCCAGGCAGCCCAGCAGCGCTATGGTGGCCACGCCCTCTGCCCGCGCCCTGCAGCATCAACTGCATGATGGGGTGTGAGGGCAGAGTCTTGTCTACGCTGCCTGGCTGCCATGTCCTTGGCTGCGCTGCTCCATGTGGGCCATGCTCGAGGGCGAGTCTCCTTCAGGGGGGCTGCTGGAGAGGAGGGGGTAATGGGGGGAGGCAAGGCTGGGGCAATGGCACGTGTGCCCACAAAGAGGGCTCCGAGTGCCGCCTCTGGCACCCGTGCCATAGGTTCGCCACCACTGATATAGTATATATATAGCACTCAAGAAAGAATTCAGACTCCATTCACTTTTGTCAATTTTGTTGTGCTGCAGCCTGATTCTACAGTTGATGAAATTCATTTTTTTCCATTTTTGTCCACATTAATCTACCATAATGTCTTCTACAATGAGAAAGTAAAACACACACACACACACACACACAGAATAATCTTTGATTTAGAATAAGTTTCAAGGTTAACTTGCAGTCAGTTATATTACCCAACTTCATTTATTCAGAATTTCATTTCTTTGAGTGACTCTGATTGTGAACTCTGCCTAGATAATTATAAGGAACTAGATGGGGGAATGATTAGAGAACTTGTTTCCCACAATGGGTGAAGCAAAAAAACAAAAAAACATGAAGTTGCATGATTTGAACACCACAGTTCATGCACTGGGTTAAGGCATAATCAGCTTGGTTGGTTTAAACGTGTTGTGAAAACCCAGCCATTGTGATTTAGCTTCACAATTACATACAGGTAGTCCTCAACTTATGGCCATAATTGAGCCCAAATTTTCTGTTGCTACATAAGACAGCTGTTAAATGAATTTTGCCCCAATCTACATTTTTTCTTGGCATGGTTAAGTGAATCACTGCAGTTGTTAAGTTCGTAACATGGTTGTTAAGTGAATCTGGCTTCCCCATTGATTTTGCTTGTCAGAAGTTTTCAAAAGGTGATCACATGACTGCAGGACACTGTGACCATCACAAATATATGCCAAGTGTTCAAATTTTGATCATGCGACCATGGAAACGTTGCAACAGTCGTTAAGTCTGAAAAACGGTCATAAGTCGCTTCTTTCAGTACTGTTGTAACTTTGAACGGTCACTAATTGAATGGTTATAAGTTGAGGACCACCTGTATGGTTAAACACAATATAACTTCACACTATGTCTGAACACAACTCAGTATGAGATTATTTTCTTATAGATTTATTTATTTTAATTTTATTTTTCTTATTTACATGTTTGATAAGAGTTTGAAAATGACTTGATGGCATATCGTTTTGCTGGGTTATACAGACTGGTGATTTCCAGTCTATAGTCTACAGTGTGGATATAAAATAAAAATAATTCAGGCAATTGCTAAATTTGGTAAACTTTTAGCATTTTGCTTAACCTGATATCAGCCTTGCAGGATAAACCAGACAGGAACCACAATCAGATGAGCTATTTCTACTTTGTTGTAAACCTACACTGGCAGAATCTTGCAAGTATGAAGTTAAATTCTCCACTCCCCCACTTCTCCTTTACTGCCAAGAAACTAGGGAGGGTCTCTTCTGAGCCTCTTACCCTGGCTACTACCCAGTTGCAGGCTATGCTGTCTCTTATCATTCCCTTGGCAGCATCTCTTTGCCCAGTCTCCCAAAGTCTTTCTCACATACCATTACACCTTGTAAGTGATCAGGCAAGAACACTTTGCAGACTGGGATGGAAGGGATAGTTCTGTGTGAGCAGCGTGCGTGCAACTCCATTTGTGCAAGCACTGCATGTGCACCCGCTGCTCACACAAATGGGAGTTGCATGCGCGCTCGCCCACTGCTTCCACAAGTGGAGCTGCATGCATGCATGCATGCATGCCTGTGCCCACCGCTTCTGTGGCCCAGTTCCAAAAGGGCCATGGCCTGGGAATTGGGGACCCCCAACCTATAATAATGAGATTTCTGAATGTCAGCAAATACTATGCATTATAAAAAAAAATAAAAGATTTTATAAAAGTGTTTATTGAGTGTCCCCTCAAATTCATTCATAGGCATTACATTACTGATGCCTATTTTATGTGGTGGCCTGCAAGAGCTCTAAAGGATGATGCAATGGTTTATATAAAGCAAGAGATTGTGAATTGAGCAGCTGGTACAGTCCTTACTTAGAGGTCTCTAAAGTTTGCTAGGAGGGAGCAAAAAACAACAACAACCGTCTAGTGTGAACATCATAAAATCGATCTGTTAACATTAGACTTTGATAGATGGAAAACACATTTGATAA